ACTGACCTTGATAAGTTTGTTGAGAGATTCACCAGCAACCAAGCGCACATCTGACTCCTGATCATCACAGCTGACTAACAAAGAGTCCACAGTGATAGCCAGGATCTTTGGAAATTCAGACAAACTTCTGATGGAGCAATCAGTCAAAACAAGTGAACATTAAAGGTGCATTAATCTCATTTGTATTAAATTTCTTTTTGCAATGAACTGACAAAGGAGTACTATTCTAATTAAAAAAAATAAGGGTTTTCTCAAAGATCACAACAAAATGACTCAAACCAGAGCACTAAGGTAGCAAAAGTATTCTGAACATCTAATGCAAGTGATACTTCAAGGAAGTTGTCAAGCAAAAATGAAAATGAAAATATTCATTTTCAGAGAAGAAAAACATGGATTCTTCCCCTTTTTTTAATTCATTTGTGATCCCACATGTCGACATGGCACAGCATCAAGAACTCATGGATTTTTTAATTTCAAAATGAATAACTGGTGTTACAGATACATGCAACAACTGTACCAGCATATAATAATTCCTGTAGATTCCAGAGATTTCTCCCTTAAACACTGAAGTGAAAGTTAGTACAAGTAAAGGTATTTTCAAGTAAAATACAAGACAACCAGTCATAGGGTGTAGTTTAAATTTTGAATAAATTCATTCCAGCAAGGAACAAATAATAGATAAAAAATTATAAAGTGCCTAATTTTCTACAATTCCCTTTTGATACCAACCTTATACCTGAGGAGCAAACTAGTTCAGGAATGGTGTTCAGATATGATATTCTTTCTTTTTTAGACAGAAGGCTTTCTTTCTTCCTATGTAAAAATTAATAATATTGTTTGTTACCTGTGGCACTGTTTTTTTCCCATTATGTTTACAACAACTCAAAGCCTCAACCTTGGCATTGGCTCAGTAAGGTGATACAGATATATTCCATGCCCTCAATCATTTATAGCGCTGATTAATATAGCATTAAATAGAAGGGAAAAATTTCAGTAAAGTCAGTTCTTATAAGTTGTGGCTGTGTTTACAACAGTTAATTCTACCTTACATAAATTATCATCCCACATGTTCAATTAAGTCACGAAAATGTTCCAAAGTCATTAACTTCAAGGAAGTCTCCTGAGAATAATACACAACAGTAATACATGCATCTTTGCATAAGAGCTTTCAGCTTAGGTCAGCTACACTGTGGCTGTGTACTGACTTGTAAGTACCAATGCATTATTTTTTGGTAAATGAGTGCTTGGATAAGGCTGAAAATCAACAGAGCTACAGGCAAAATATAAAACTTTAAGAGAAGGACTGAAGGGGGAGGTTCATACTCAGCCCTGTCATTTAGGTTGGTATCACTTGATCAACGGCTGTAAACTAAGTTTAACTAGTCGCTTAATTTATCTAAAATTTAAGGTCAGCATTCGATAACCAGTGAGCCTCACTTTTTGTCAACTATTGATGCAACGCTGCATAAACTAAGTAATCTAAGCAATGGAGATATCCTTACTTTGCCAAAGGATTTGGGTCGACCACAGGAATGCCCTCTCTAAAATTTTTCAACGCGTCAAAAATTTTGAGCAGCTTATCTGCCGCTGCTAGAGACATCTTGTGCAAGTTTGCTCCTACGTCCAGAGCTCTGAAATAAATCCTTAGGTGTCATCTACTTTACAACCTCGATAGGCCGCCATCTTTGATACGTTAGCCTCGCTTTCAAGATACAGGTGGCCTCGACCCCAGGTCTCCACTGACGGACGCTAACAACGCCCTTTCTTTTCTTTCATTCTCACATTTCAACTTGCATGCATGCGGGGTTTCCTTTCCTTCCTTCTCTCACTAAAAACGAGAAAATGGAAAGTTCCCAGGATGCTCGCTCAGAGTAAGTAATCTGTGCAATGATCATAGAAGTAATCAGTCGTTTCTTTGGACCATAATTCATACGATTAGTCCTGATTTTTCGATTGTTGTTCGCTGTTTGTGGGTCATGTGTTTTAAGTCTGTTTAAAATTTGTTTCCTTGGAAGGAGAGAAGAGAATCTACATTCAATAATTTCCAAGATAGCTGATGGTGCACATAACATTCATGAATCGGAACTGGTAAGTGCATAGTACAGTACAACTCTTCCTGTTACGTTTGATAAAAGTTCGATCTTTCGTTCTGCAAGTTATTTCGAGCTCCTTCGTGAAGAACTCATGGTTCTGAGGAATCACCCAAAGTTCCTGTATTGTGATTTCCAATAATCACTGAGAGAACTATTGAATCAATCGAACAACTGGTGCTTCTGCATTAAAACTTAAAAGGCGACTTGATTTTTCGATTATGTCCCTTATCAGGTAAATCAAGCGGAATAGTAACAGTTTGCAAGCGTTTAGCGTGACTCAATTTTTAACGGATATTGCGTGACATTTTCGTTGTTGCTAAGGAAAGGGAGCCTTGTTCCAAATACTGCAAGGTTTATGGCAGAAATGTCCTCTGAGAATGGTTCCTTACCATTGCTGTACATAAAAGAAGTGTTGTGCTGGTTAAGTTGTCATTTCTCTCAAGCTTTTATGTCCATCTACATGTTTAAAATTAAAGGGGGTGAGTTTCTAAAGAAACTGTGGTGCGGTAAAAGTGGTAATAGTAAATTGGCCACTATAAAGAGTTAAATGGCTATGTTTCGAGCATTAGCCTTTTGTCAGAGCAATTGGGGGAATTGTGGGTTCTGTGTGGGTTTAAATCCAGAAAATGGAGCTACGCTATTGGTGGGAATATGGTGACGAGAAAACAAGAATAAATTAGTTGAATGAAAAGTGCTTGTTGATACCGTGGATTAAGAGTTCTGATTTGGAAGATAAATTTTTGTTCTAAAGTTTTGCAGGTTTCCAAACTGCCTACATGTAGAGAAAGCTGTAAAACTTTAGAGCAAAAATTTATCTTCCAAATTGGCACTCTTAAACCCCACAGTATCAACAAGGGCTTTTCATTCAACTAATTTATTCTTGTTTTATTGTTACTATATTCCCACCAATAGTGTAGCTCCATTTTCTGGAATGAACCCACACACAACCCACAATTCCTCCAATCACTCTAAACTAATGCTTGAAACATCACTCTTTTAACGCTTTACGGTGGCCAATTTTCATTTTGAACTCAGTTGTTTGCACTAAATTGCATGTTTAAAAACCAACTTTCCTAATTCAAATCAGTTGGAGAAAAGCACCTTGTCAATGCCATTATCTATTTTTTCATCTATTTAATACCAATGCTGTTTGAAAATTAATAATTTGATTTTTTTTGCTCCATCTTCATGACCATTGTAGTTATACAGATTTTATGATTTTATTATGTACTGTTTTGTATATTTTTGTGCTTTTTTTTTAAGGATGAAAGTGATTTTCTGATCGTGTCGAGTGAACACAGAAGTTTCAAAAGGTAATGACTAAGAAAGTTTTTTTCTTGCATTATTGCAATCTGTAGCTTATAATTTTATTGCACTTTAGTCTACTTTCAAAGTCGTGTCATTGTTTTCATTAGTGGGGAGAATTTTGGACCTTTTCTGTCTTGATCCCAGTATGATTTACCATACATTTAATGTATGCATCGTGAAGAGAATTGAGTTTCATATCTAGGCAATTACTGGTCAATTTGTCAATAGCCTAAAATAATTTCACAATTGATGCGAAAAGAATCAAACTATGCACTGAACATACAGAGTGTACATTGGCATAAAAAGATTTAACCCCCACAACACCTCAGGAGTGTTCAGAAAGGAATTGCTCCTTACATTATGGATACTTGTGAAGCAAAAGGGTAATCAGGCAAAGCATTTCATCTTAAGGGCAACGACCTATTTAACATTAAACTCTTTAGCGGTAATAATGGGAAATTGATATCTCGATCCTGGGAGTGAAAGGACTTAACAGTGACATGTTGAAGTTTATGAGTACCTTTAAAAATGATCAATACCAAGAGGACAAAAATAGTTGCTAGGATTTTTAATTTTGTTTCACCATCACCAAATGAATGGCCTGTTCCAGATGTTCAATTACCAGTAGTAAAATAGAGCAAAATAGTAAATGGCATGACAGTAGTGGTGGAGCAAAAAAAGTGGAAGGCTTGGGTTGGACTGTTTAAAGGAAGGAATTTTGGATCACACACAATTTTTACTATTGTGCTATTTACTGTTTTGCTCTGATTTACTAAGTGAAGGCCTAGGACAGTCTACGAATGTCTGTGTTTTGTAACACACTTTTCTGGTTTTTCAGAAAACTTGAGCAGAATGAAGAAAGCAGAAAAATTACAAAAAGTGACCTGGATTCAGGGGTCAAATTCATCACTGATGAGATCAAGCCAGATATTGATGCCATGGCTGTGCAGATCTTTTCTGAGCTACCAGAAGAGAATCCTTTCAGGCTTGCAGATGCAGTACCTGAACAAGATCTTATTCATCCACCAACAGAACCTGTCTATCAGCAGTTAACCCTGGAGGATCCAAGCAGTGAAGTAAGAGAGGCATCGGAAGGTAATCTGGGAACAAGTCTCGTTGTAGTTGTTTTTGGGGCTCTTCCTGAATGATTTTCCCAAAATAAGTAATTACTAAGCACTGAGTTCACAAAAGCAATATAGTAAGGGGACTGTGGAGAAAATGGGGGCCCAAATTTGTAAACAAATCCCCAACCCTTTAGATGTGGTAATTATGACAATCACAGCATAAAATTGGCTCAGTCAAACATTTGGGGTTGGTTATTTACACAAGGTCCATCCCAAACAGTAGTCTTACATAATCAGTGGGCCTGAGGCCTTCTCCATAAGAGGGTTGATTTAATTAAACAAATTTCCTTCCACCATAAGCTTTCAGCCCTCTTGATACTTTTCACAAAAATAATGTTCAGATAAAAAGTAAGCTAAATTGAGGATTGTTTAAGGTGCAAACTTGTTAAACCTTTCACTCCCAAGATCTCATTAGTAATTCTCCTTACTGTCTGCCATTCTGCCATGCAGTTCTTGTGATGTTAGTTTGGAGAATTTGTTATTGGATCAACTTATAATCCCTTGACTGATATTTTTCTTTATTCTCATCACTTGCCTTCTTGACATTGTATTGATATTGTAAGGAGAAATTTTGTCTGGGTCACTCATGGTTGTTAAAGAATTAAAAAGTGACCAGATCAATCCCAATGACTGGCTCTTAGTCTTTTGATCTTTTCATAAACTATTTCATTATGATTGTTCAGGGATTTAAAAAAAACTGTTGACTGCCGTAATCCTGTTGGCTACCTGATAATATGTCACTGCTTAATCTGGTCAAAATAAATACCTTTTGGCCCTCAAGGAACTTTTCATAATCACTTACTTTTGGTGAGTCTGATGCCTACATGAAAACACTTTGAAACCCCTGATTACTAGTGTCTACAGCAAGTGTGTGATTGTAGTAAACCATAGTATCATTTTGCATCATATCACTTTGAGACAAACTTTTAAGTTATGTTTTGTCTGATTTCAGACCCATTAGATGAGGTTGGAGTAGCCTCTGATGCTGGTAGTCCTGTGCCAATGCCACAGATGGCTCTTGGTTTGATGCCAACACCCAATGTAACACCTCCTCAGGAAGTGACCACTGAACAGATCCACTTGCAGTTTCAAAAGAAACTTGAAGAACTTGAACAGCAGGTAAGGAGTTAAAAAAAGTAAAGCAAAGTCTAATTTGGAACATGTTGTAGCCAGAAAAATTTTTTGAGTTCCCCTTTGGTTTTGAATTATTGAAAAGTTCCTTTGTTTTTGTCATACAATTTACCAATTTGATCAAACAATTTGGTTATACTGGCAGAGGTTTGTCAAAGAAAAATGTGGGTCACTGTTCAAGTATTCTTTTCTTCAAATGCTTAACCCATTGTCAAGGCATCTGTTAGCCACAGTTCATCTGAAGAATGCCCATGCTGAATGTTATCTCAGTTCATTGGACCATTCATCTGGAGCTTTCTCACATAACTGAAAGCTCAATAACCAGCCACCTCATTGCCTGTCCTTACTTTTTCTTGATGGGATGTTGCAGCACCAACTAATACAATCCACAGCTTTATTTTATTTGATCTGCAGTATTATCTGATTGCATCAGGACCTATAAATTTAAATTATTTTTACTGATTGCAGCAAAAAAAAAAGGGGGAAAGAGGTTTCCACAAATATTCTTCCTTTCACAAAAGCAAAATTGCCAGAGTACCTATGTAGTCAGGGGCCAAACCATTTCTAACTTTGTACATTGAAATTACAATCTCTTGAAGCCTCCTATTGTAGAGAGAAGGCAAGTTTACACTGCGTAGAAGATCTTCGTGAGTGTCCGTCCTACAGTTGTAAATTTCTCTTATAGCGCGTTCTTGTAGTCTCTTTCATTGTTATTTTCCATCGTTTCAGGTCAAGGTCCTTCAAAACCGAAATCTCGCCTTGGAGGAATCATACAAGAAGCTGTCTGACCTCGTGGAAGCCCAAAACCATCTACTTGCAAGCGGGGGACCATTCATCCAACGGTTGGCACCGGCCACTCCTCAGGAAACCTTGGCCGATACCACTGCAAAGACAGAGACTCCAGAAGTACCTCCGTTACCCAACGTTCCCTTTGTAAGTGAAAAGACTTTATTCTCCAACTCACAACAGCTTCACAGGAGCGGTCTGCGCAGCTATGAGCTTCCAAGGAGGGTGTCGGCGAAGGAA